TGTTGACAGGTTGACTGACAGATGTAAGTTTATCTAATTTTTTTCTAGTGGACATATCTGTAAAAATTACTTTTTTTAAAAGTTTAATAACAATATTACCGAACTGGTACAAAAAACAATTCTTGTAAAAATTCATTATTCATTAGAAAAACAAAAATAGTGTCCATATCTTATTCATAAAATCAATTAAAAGATTTCTTAATTAAATAATGTCTTAGTTTTCTTGCATTTTTTATTTTAGAATTCAAAGCAGATTTTTTGGTAATTGGTGGTCTTGTTTAAAAAAAAAAAAAAAAAAGATTTAAATTTTCCAAGGAGTTCTGCATATAACTTATATAAACATTAAGCAGTACAAAAATAATTAATTTCTCAAACTAACAAAATTAAATAAGTATGTGGGGAGGTGGGGGATAACAGACAAAAAAAAATAAATAAATACATAAAAAATTTTTTTACCAAATCTTTCTAAAAAGAAAATAATTTGATTTTTGAAAGAATTTCCAAATATGTGTTTCTAATGGGGGGAAAAAACTAAAATTAAAATCTCCTATACTAATCTTTGGCCTGTCCACTGATAAAATAAAAAACTTAGAATTTAATAAACCAAAAAATCCCTCAGTCTTTCCTCTTAATAATAAAGATTTTGACAAGACTTTGCTTTTAAGTTTGTGGCATTTTTTTTTCATCATCATATGCTCATTTTTAGCAAATTTGTGGAGGTAAACCTTTAGTTTATGCATCTTGTATTGCTTTCCTGTTTCTTCCAATGAACCAGAATATGACATCCAGCCCAAAGATTGAACTCATGACTGCCAGAAACCAGGTAAGCTTTAACTCATTATGCCAGGTGTCTCAAATATGTGGAAAAACTTCCTATCCCAGTTCCATTGCTTTTGCAACAGGAGGATGGGTGTTATTGTACAGCAAAATCTCTGGTCAACTACCAAGCCCGAGAAAATAATGTGTCATTCAAATAAACCAATCACAATTGATCGATTTACAGTAATTACAGTGTACAGAGTGCAAAATAATAACTCCCTTCAAATTCGAAGGACTGAAGAAGAAGGAAAGGAATTTGTAAGACTATATGAAATTGTTTTTGGAACCTTGCCTTCACAGAAATTAACCAGTCAGCCAAGAAGAAAAAAAAGGAAAGAAAGTAGTGAGCCTATACTAAATTCTTTTTGATATAAAATGGAGAAAAATTATTCACCAATTATATGATCAGCCACTAACTAGCACATGTCCCTTTAAGGAATTTTCTCTCAACAATTCAAAAAAGCTAAATATTTCAAACTATCTACTTTTGAACCTATACAAACCATATAACCCTTCAGTGAGCAAACTATCTTACCTTCATTTTAAACATTTTGAATATTATTTTATGCTTAACCATTTAATCTGTTGTATGGACATTTCCTCTTCATGACAATTAAGTTAAAACTATGTACTTTAAGAATTCTGATTTATTTTCTTGAAATGAGCTAACACTACTCCAAGCATGTAAATTCATGAATTAATTCCTTATCTTGTTTTGTTAAAATTACCAGTGTTTCCTCATCATTATAATCCTTCATTAATCTTCTTGGTGTGGGTAAATCAACTGTTCATTTTAACCCTTAAGACCCACACAACTATAACAGCAAAGGTGATGTTTGGAATAATTAACAAACTTCAAAAGAATAACTGGTGACTAATAACCATCAAAAATAATTCCTTGCAATGAAGTGGCAATAAATAAAGTGAACTTTCAAAAACATTGCTTCCCATTTAATTACAATATTTCTACGAAAAAGACTAATTACTAACTTTTCAGATTTATACATACAAGTGCACCTAACTTGTGGAGAGTTGTGCCAGAGATTCTTGGCATTTATTGAAAACTATGGAATTAAAACTGTCTCAAGATATGTCTATTTCATTTAGATTAGAGCAAATCTTGATATTCGGCATAGTGAAAGTTTGTCTATAATGCAGATCTTGGTACGAGAAAGTCCATTTTGACTTGGTAGTGGGTAGTTTCAAAGTAAGAACTTAATAGTCATCTTAGAAATAGGTTGGTGTCAATCTGCTGTCTTTTTTTGTGGGGGAGGCTCTAGAAGAGAGAGAGAGAAAAAAATTTAACTTCTGGTTCTGCTAGCAGTCTCTTGTCTGGCTCAATTTACCATATTCCCAGACGACTGGCACAAACCTTGGTTTTTTTGGCTAACATCAAAATTCAAAAGTATCTGTGTTAAATTTTGATTAGCCAAAATTATTTTATTTTCCAGTGTTCCTTTCTTATATAACTTCTACCGTTATGCAGCCAGGTTCAGTCTTTTTTTTATTTGAGGGTTGCCGTCTCGTTAGTTGAGAGAGAAAAAGAAAGCGCAAATACCTTATTTTAATTTGAAAACTTCAACACTGGTAAATGATTTCCCCATTACTTTAAATAAATTTAATTGTTAAAACGAAAATCAAAATTGTAGACAAACTCTTGAAGAAAAAAACAAATTGAGATCAATTATTGCGGATTTTTTTCTTTTCTTAATTCCCGATTTGTTAACTAACTTCTTGAGGAAACGATAGAAAAAGTCAGTCCGAACGTATCAATAGTGAAACATTTTCAAAAGTGAACTTGCAGCAATAACGTATTTGTTACAATTTTGTAGAATAAAAACTTTTACCTACCGAGACTTCATAATGAGAAATGGGATCAACAAGTACTGGAGAGACAAAGTGTTTTTTTTTTTGTTTTTTTTTAGGCTACTTCAACTTCCGCCATTTCAAACTGTGCACCACAATGAAACTATCTTATTTCTTAAGTTTTATTTTTTAAATTCTCACCTTGTGACCAATCAAAAACGGTTATAAAATCAACTTGGTTCCATCCCCAACAACCCGACTGATTCTTTTGTGTGTAAAAAAAAAAAATTGCTTGAATGATTGAAAACAAAAACAATATGCAGTATTTTAACCTTAATTCAACGTTATAGCATCGTGAACCTAACTTAATTTTTTTGTTGCTTTTTTATCGGAACGTTACTCGACGGCGCGAATCGAGAAATAAAGTATGATCTATGCGTGATTCGAACCCACGCCATGAAAAATTAAACTGTTTAAAAGACTGCAGTCAACAAAAATCCTCAGTTCACTATTCCACCACCTTTTTTTTTTTTTGTTAGTGCAATATTTGTTTTTTTTTTTATTATTATTAATATCAATAGCAGCAATATTGTTTTTATTTTTAACGGTGTATTGTCAGTGATTAATTTTGTTGACTATATTTTTTTTTTCTTTTTGGGCTACTTTTTTTTTTTTTATAAACGTCAATAAGTTTGAACAAGTCATCAACCTACGTCAGGGAGTCCGAAAGAAGTGTGAATAGTTTGAAGAATAAAATATGGTGTATTGAATTACAAGTCAAATTATTTCCAACTAACAACGGTTTTAATGGTCGTCCGTTATGATGAGGTTCGATTTTCTTGCTCATAGTGATATAAGTTCTTCAAATATGGCATTGCACGGTCACATTTTACCCCTGATCACTCATTTTAGGAGAAGGAAGACTTAACTGTTCAAATGAGTTTTTTTTTTTTTTTTTGAAACGTGGGGATTAAGATTTTTTTAGTTTGTGTTTTTTTTTTGTTGTTGGAGGGATGAAATTGAAAACTGATATGCGGCTGCTTTCATTTTTTTTTTATACAGAATTTCAAATGTTGTTCCAAGTCTACAATTTGTTAACTTAGAAAAAGATGTGCTTTGTTAAAAGTCAGATTCTTTTTAGCAGAAAAACACGAGTGTTATGTTTTAATTTTTTGGTGCTTTTTCTTTTCAAAAAAAAAAAAAAAAAAATTCTCGTCCCTTTATGAAATGCGTCGTTTGGTATGTTCGTGGGAGAGTTTTCCTGTCTTTTTTAAAATAAGTAACGTCACTGCTTTCCTTTATTTAATTCGGTGGCTGTATGCAACGAATAATTTTTTCTACTTATGGTTGAAGTTTTACCTTAAGAAGTTATACGTGATGGTTTCCGCCATACAGTATTTAAATTTTAAATTCATGAGTAGTGTAGTAAATAGCTAATGAAATAATAAGAAAAAGGAAGTAAGGAAGGACAGCTCCTACAATTTAAAAAGGAAGTGTTTCCTATGGCTAAGTGTTCTTTGTCTGCTAATTCTAATATTAATGATTAAAAATGCAATTCGGCGATTGCAACAGTGAAGAGATGCGGCTAAAACTAGTTTAATTGCGTTCTTTATGTGCAGTGTACTCTTAAAAGAAAAAAATCCCATTCATAACAAATTGATATATCAGCCACTATCTTTTTGAAATTGCAGAATTTAAATAAATAAAAGAAATCACTTAAAATGTAAGATGAATTTTAGTGTATTTTCAGTCGATACGTAACTATTATCTAGCAAACTAAAATAAAGGATAAAAATTCTACAAAACCTTTCTAACAAAAAGTAAATAGGTCGAAAGTTAAATACAGAAAAATCAGAACCTAAATCATTAGCAATGCTCTAACGCAGAAGATGCTAAGTTTAAAATATAATATAATATATTGATTCAAGCTTGTAAAGAAAATAACATTAAAACTCAAATTCAATACAATGAAAAAGTTTACTATATTAAAATCTGGGCGTTATCTTTATCAAAATTTGCGATGATTAGTCAACGTTAGAAGAATGGCTTTGTTTTTTGTGTGGAGAAAGCAGCACTACAGACTTATTTACACGCGACAACGGTATACTGTTAAACAAGTAAAAATAAATTTTTACTTGTTTATTTATTTCTGCGAGGAAATCAAATAACGGAAATGTCCCACTTTTCCCCATAATACAAGAAACTCGCTATAAAAAAATACAGATTGATACACTGATTCAACTGGTAACCGTCATTGTTGCAGTAAGTCACACAAATGATTACGGCAACAGTTTATTAAGAAAACCGTAAACAATCCAACATAAAACGTAGGAAGAAAATGTACATGAAAAGAAAACAAATGAATAGTTACTTACTGAGGTTTCATGATGGCGCTTGTTTAAATGTGGTATTAGGAAAAAAAAAATCTCGATTATCTTCAAATAAACCGATGGAATTGATTGTTCGCCATTTAAATTTCCGCTAAAAATTCTGACCAATGACAATAAAGATAGTAAACACGTGATTAGGACTAAAAATTGTCTCCCATTAACCATGCACAGTAAGAAGACTGTGTTTTCAAGACATTAATTAATTAAAGTTCAAAATGGGGGGGGGATATTGATTAAAAATTAAAATTACGTTCTCGAGTAAGCTTCAGTGTCTATATGCTCCATTTTGAATTGTTTGCAAAGGTAAGGATCCCGACGACACTATCCAAGTTAAATAACAGAAAAAAAGAAGTGGAATGATGCAATCTCTTCTCAATTCCTCTCAAACTTGCTTAATCAATGTGGCGGAATTTTTGCCAAATGCCAAACTGTGTACTCACCTGGTAAAAGTTGAAAGGGAATAGTGGTGGATTTGTCCGAATGTAGGGATACCCAATAAAAAATGAATACTTCGTCTTCGTTGTTGACAGAAAAAAAACAAACAAGATTTTCAAATCTATGAAAGACGGTAATGGGTAATAATCAGTGAATCACTGTCAGGGTGAGGTATTAAGATTCAATTCAGCTGTCACTAACAGGCTGTCAAAAGCGCGATTTTCGCCATATGAGACAAACAAATGACACCAAAAAATGTATATTTTTTCTACAATGAAAACAAAAAATCGACACCCTCATTTTTAAATTTTGGCCAAACATCATGAAATTATCCGATTCAAACGAAATTTATTTATTCATTAATCATTAGTGAATGAATATTTTTACTGAATACTATTTTCTTTAAAAATAACTTTTCGATATTGCGTGTTACCTTTTAAGTTGAGGGGGGCGTCCAATTTTTTTTTTTTTAAAGTTATAAAAGAAATCCCTGAAGTTATTATTTCAGTAAACAAATTATGCAATGTCGTGTGTACAGAAAATTCACCTTGCATTTTACCAAAAACGATTCAACTGAAAATCAAAAAATAATTTTTTTTTGAGAATTGGTGCTTGCACAATATATTCGTTATTTTCTTTCAGATTCGACAGAAAAATTTAAACTTGATTTTAAAAAAAAAAAAAAAAAAAATGTAATGTTTCATTGCAGTTTTGAAAATCCCATTGCTGTTTATCACAAAAGTTTATGAATAAAGACCTGTTTGAAGATTAAAAAATGTAAAGCTTTAAATGTCATTTTCGAGTGTGAAACTTTTTTAACGAATTTAATTGAATTTTTTTCCTTTTAGCATCTCTTAAACTATTTTTACTATGGATGTACAAAAAAGAAATAATTCAGATTCGCGTTGACTAGCTACTATTTAATAACTGAGGATATTTTATTAATCATTTTATTTTTATACTGACTGAACGGGGGATACGAGAAATATCATTATATTTCATATCTCCCGTTCAGTCAGTATCAAAAATAAAATTGTTCATAATACTATGACATTAAAAGAAAATCTAGTTTTAATTTAATCATAAATAATAAATTCTTGATTATCGCACTGCTGGTCTTCCGTTCTTTGGTTTTATATTTACTTTTTTTACTCACCTTTTCTCTTTCTTTTTTTTTTTTTGGGGGGGCAGGTGTAGAATAAAATTTGTACTTTTACCTCACAGGCTACCGTGTGTAAATAAAACGTTATTTTCATTCTGTTTTTTAAGTAAAAGGCAAGTATTACTTTTAAGTTTTAGTCTTTTAGAAATCCAGTAATTTAAAAATCCTTAAATTTACTAATAGACTTTGAAAAACACCTTTAGATATAAAGAGAATTTTAAATTTGTTTACATTTTTCGCATACAATGCGACTCGATATTACGAAAAAAGTACTCTAATGCTTTAAAATATCTGAAAAGTTTACTTTATAATATGGATTTTTTTTTAAAATTCGGATTGCTTTTTTAGACCATTATCTTTGAAACAGAGCCGAAATTTAGGTTAAACGCAGGCATTTAAATTATTTAAAATGCGTTTTTCATTTTTTTTTTTTAGAAAATATAGCGGTACCCCCTGCTACGCATAATGTCAGTCCTTGACGAAAAAGATCTCGAGATAAAGTATTTTTGTGTTGAATATCAGAGCCAACAGCAGATCAGGGTAGCAATCATCAAGGTTTGTGTTGAGAACGCATTTGATAGCTTACTTCATACAATGATGGAGAAATCGTGTCCATGAGTGCCGACCAAATGAACAAGGAATACAGTTGGTCTTATGATGAACAGGAAAGCCATCAAACCATACATTCTTGCATGTCCACAATGGTTTGATTGCAGAGTATGATGACATGGGTACGCCCCTCCCCCGCACAATGTTCATTTTATGCATTTTTTTTTATCATTTCACGCCAAACAATTCCACATGTAAGAATTGCGAAAGAAACTGTTAGCATAGAACTTACAGTTACATCTAGCCATTTCGACTGTAAAATGATGAGACTTTACTGTCAATCTAGTACTTCACTTAAATTCATAAAGGTACCACAAAGGAAAATTCACCAGAACAATTACCATGAAAATATTTATAGAAAAGACACAGAGAAACTATGTTACAGCGATGGGAAAGCGACTGAAGCTGAAATGCTGGCTTAGGGCCAATAACATTGCAGATTCTTCTTTGTATATTATGAAGAATCTCTAAATACATAGCAGAAGCACCAGACCAGATGTTGCAGCAATGTTCAAAGCATGGACGAATGATAGACTTGTAACGGGATTAATATTAATGACATGAAATTAAAATGCATAAAAAATACAACAATAAAAACTTGAGACACGTGTTGACATAAATAACAAGCATTTACATTTTTTTTTGCGATGTAAATTGGTATGGCGGATGTAAAAATGTTCTCAATGTTTCTTTTATTTAAAAGTCAGTGCTTAGTTGGTTAGAATTTCGCTTGTGAGGATGGCGTTTGAAATCGTCGGTTTTCGATCTTCACGAAGCACTGGCTAGACGTGTGTTTCTGTACTACTATTGCTACTTGTCTACTCATCACTGACTGCTGTTACAGGTACCCTAGTCCACTCTACTGCTTTCTACTCTACTGACCCTCTTGTGGTGGAAAGGCTGTTTTATAATCATGAGGGTTGGGATGATGAAATATCCTTCTTTTATATCATCATGGATGACAAGGTTATTTTTAGAATGATGAAATATCATCATTTTGAACTATAACAGACTTATAAATATGTAAGATAAATTCTGGCAAGAAATATTGTCTAGTACAACACTGAATCAACATTCCTAGCAGCTGACCGAGCAATTGATTCAATATAATATTTCCACTTCATGTCAGCGGAAAACGTTAGCCCACGAAATCAAAATGAGTTACTCTTCTGGGGGTTAGCATTTACTGTGCTGATAGAAGTTCGTTCATGAAAATTAGGAACAACGTAGGTCCAAGCATAGAGCCATGGGAGATATTTGAATTAATGCAAAAAGATCTGGAAGAGTGTTCAAGATAAATTTCATTTTGCGATTTAATAAGATTGAATCAGTTCAAAATGTGTCCAGAAATATCATAAATTTTCAATTTGTGAAGAAGAATAGCATGCCAAACACTACCACATGTTTTCGATATGTCCAAAACAACGAGTCGAGCTTCACCATTCTTATCTAAAGCTTAATAAGACTATTTATATCATTAATACATCAGCAATTGACCTAGAGTAGCAAAAGCTATATTGCTTATCTGAAAGAAGACCCTGCGAGGTGAGATGCTTAACCAACTCAGAGTTGATTAATGACTCCCGTACTTTCCCAAAAAGAGGTAGAACGCTAATAGGCCGATAGTTAGAACAGGCCGGTGTGAACCAAGAAGATTGTGGTTTTACCTTTTATTTCCGAGAAGGTACAAAAGCATCGGTACCGGTTTAAACCTAAGAAACACCTGTTGTACAATTCTCAATAGGAAGGTTAAAAATATCAGTCTCATAAAAAAATCACCAAATGTATCCAAATCAGTACGCTAGTAACAGAAATAATTCTTGTGAATAGGAGATTCCAGTCTAATAGACGACTTAAAAGAACTATCAATAGATACCACAGCGTGATCCGAATTGCCAAGAGGACAGAGTCGTGGCGCTCGACAAGAGCCAGAAGAGGAGGTAAGGAACAAATCAAATAAAGAAGCATTTTGATCAGAATTATTGGGGAAATTATTAGGGAAACAGAAAGTTTGAATACATTCAGCAACATTATAATAATTAAGCCACTTGAAATGATGACCATTAGAATCACAATAACACAAAACTGTTCACAGGTGAATGTAGAGAAAGCGACATTTTTATACTGTTAGATAATGTTACAGTCCCAAGAAGATGAGCGATAAAGGAAAAAGAAATAACTAACAAAGTGCAATGACGAAATGAAACATGAAACAATAACTCCTGTGGACTTAAGTGGTAACTCCCTTGGTATTGGATGATTTTGCCGGATATAAACACCAAAACTATACATATGTATCCTATAATTATTTGACGAACAGAAAGATAACCTAGAACAGAGAATTCATTAGTAGCGATAGAATAATTTAAATTAGTTTCACAAGGTGCTAAGATATCTGGAGAACTTTTGAAAGGAAAAGATTCTACACTACAAAAACTGGTACGAATATTGGAGAAAGAAAAATGTTTTACTAGTTTACTCATATTTATTATTTTCATTTTATCTGTCATAAGAATATTTTGTTTCTAGAAAAGGCCGAAATAATTATCACTATCGTTTATAGCAATACAAACTGATAAGAAGATGGCTAAAGCCAAAGCATAATGTGGCCTCAGGGTTGCCCACCAGAAATACGTGCCACCTATCTATGCACGACATAGTACAACAAATACCTCGATATTATGCGACCAGAGCAGCCTCTCTAAGCACTACCAAAGAGTTCTCTGATGGTTATCCCAGGAGTCTAAAAAAAAAAAAGGAATATTTAAGAATAGAAATTCTCTAGTGAAAATGTAGGTAGTCTATTTACGTTCATCAATAGTAATTAAGATTTGTGGTAACAGTATTTGTAAACCAGTGAAAAATGTTGAAAATTCGACATTATTCGCTGCACTGCGAATAGTGAGAAGAACAAAGAGTAAAGCGGAAAGTCAGATTTCTTTGCGGACGATTATACTTGTTTTCAGTGTCATATGCACTCTTTCCACTAAGCCGTTGCATTCAGGATGATAGGATGTTGGGCGAAGCTTAGCAAAATTTATTAAGCTAGTCAATTCCGAGAGCAATTTGCACTTTGGTACACGGTCAATGCAGTTCAAAATAATGTACTAGTTATTTCTTTTTTCATTTTAATTTTTTCTTGTTTTCTTTTTCTTTCTTTCTTTTCTTTCTTCTTTTTTATTTGAATGGCCAACTTTGTTGTCGACAAAGCCTTAAATATGGATTATTTTTGATTCTGTGTTTTGGGTAAAGGACCGGTGATATCTGCAGTTGTTGTCAATCTGATTGGGCTTGGGGGGGGGGTAATGCTGTGAAAAGCAGAACTTTGAGGTTGTGGAGTTTGTCACAAATTGTTGATTTTTTAATCTTCTAAATGAATGAACACTTAGCGAACGTTATTTCGGAAGATTTCGTTTTTTTTTCTATACAAATACAAACTTGTAACCTTCTTATGAGTTCGTAGCTTGCAGTACGTTGGAACAGAGAGAGAGAGAGAGAGACTCTCCTTTTGTAGTAGGCATTCGCTCTTAGTTCATTGGTGCTTTTTTTCCTGGGTTTACATTGAAGCCATCGGGGAGTGTGGTAAGATTGTCCTTCGCTTTTGTATTGGGTCTTTGATCTTTTGTTTTGCTTATCCAATTATCTGGGTTTAGAAAAGAAGTCAGCTGATTGATCTCTCCTTAAGAATGCCTGCGTTAATAATATTAATGAGGTGTTAAGGAGATGGTAAGTAAGTGATACTTTTCAGGAAGAAATATTTATATTTTATTGTATTTATTAGCGGGGATACCCGGCGTTGCTCGGAAGATCTCTGAATAATAGTTAATTATTGACAAATTATTGATATTTTTCAGCCATCTTATGGAAAATAATTTTTTATTCAATCTTTAAAAAATAAACTTCATTGTTTTTTTTGCGAGGGGGGTGTTACAGAATAACTAAATTTAGGAAAATACCACACTACCAACACCATGCTCGGATGGGGTAGGGCCGTAGGGGACTGAGCATCCTATATTTTTATTCAAAAAGACACTTTATTTTTCGATTTCAATACTAATATAAATACACTGTTAATGTTGTCTTCAAACAAATCAAACTTAGATAAAATTTCATTAACCTTTTTTGAAATTATTAATAAAAAGTAAAGAAACTTAAATTAGAATATATCTAAATTAACTTAATCATTTTTTCAAGCAAAAACTATAGCGAGCCTTACATGGAAAAATAATTATTGTGTGTGAATGAACGTAGAAATAATTATTGTGTGTGAATGAACGTAGAAATAATTATTGTGTGTGAATTAACGTAGAAAGTTTGTAGCCAAAATAATTGGTGTGTGTGAATGAACGTAGAAAGTTTGTAGTCAAGTATGTGTATGTTAATGGAATGTGAATGTTCGTACATATGTGTGTGGTGTGTGTATACTGTTCATGCGTATTTCCCGAAGGAAATGTATAGCGCCCCCTTCCCACAAAGGAGAAGACGCAAATCTTCACTAGAGATTTACATCGTGTCGTGTGGGGTTTAGCGTACACGGATTAAAGGAGAATTTAATACGGGATACCCTGCCCACAAAATACAACGCAAATTTCAAGAAGAAACAACACGATAAGGAACGTTTATAAAAAATAGAACATTGTATATTTACTTGTGAATAGGGTAAAAAAGATTAATGTTTTAGTTCGTTTAAGCAAAAATGTGATTTTTATAAAAGTGTGTGTGTTCGCTGTCTTTTAACAGAGTAGCAGAATAATGTCTGTTTCTTTTGTTTTTGTATAGTTGTAAAATGAAAAAGGGGCGAGCAATTCAAGTTGAAAAAGAGAGTGTGAATGAGGAATAAAGATAAAAGGAAAATGTACTTATGAATTGTTTTGGAGTCAGTTGTAAATTTGTTGTTGTTGTTGTTGTTGTTGTTGTTGTTGTCCTTTCCTAATCCACTTTCGGGTTGAGTCAGTGATGGAATTTACTGTCAATCTTCTGTGATCTTTTGCGCCTTTCTCTGACTGACTGACTGGCGACTGACTTGAAAACTCTGTATTTATTGTTGACTTTTTTTTCACACTGGCTCGTTATCTTTTTTTTTGGTTTAGCAAATCGCCTCCTTTCATTGGTCAGAAAATTAATTTCACACCTTATTGTGAAATCTGTTTTTGGTCGTTTTGATCCGATTTTGCGGGTGTGCAAATCTACTTTGTGTTTTTTTTAGTCATTTGTTGGAATATAGGATTTGTATCCTATAGTCGTATCAGCTGAAAAGTGAGAAGAAAAGAAAACGAGGCAAGGTATCGCCGAGTTTATGTAGTATATGGAGAGCGTCCCAAAGTAGCAGTGTCAAAAATTAGGAGATTAAGGAGCCGGTAACTTCGACAATACTCTCCCACCTTATGGTAAAAAATGTTTTTTTTTCTGTCAAATATGGAAATTTTGTAAATTTTTGTTACTGTCTTCGTAAAATGTGTAGGAAGCGTTATTGAGATGCGTGATTCGACGAATTGTATTTGGGCTATCATCAGGGTGCTGTCTAATTTTCTATTTGAATATAGCACACTCTGAAAACTGCGGCGGTAGCAAAAATTGTTCCGTGTTGGCTATTAGAATTTTGTCTTTTTCCAATGCAATTAAAAAATGTGTGCCGATTGAGATCGAATTGAGCGTGTGGTATGCTGCTAAGATTTGTTTTAGAATTGTTAATGAGGTTGTTAGTGAGGCTGCGTTTTTAGTGAGAGCACATACATTTAAATTTACAAAGAACACAAGGAAAGAAGAACAAGAGATCAAATTGCTTTCAACAATAAAATATATATTGAAAATCAACGAATACAACAATTGTGCTTATGTATTAATATTTAGGGAGAGAAGAGTAGCTTCCCTTGTACTGATATCTGATGCAAGATAGGAATAATGTACTTAAGAACTTTCTTGCTGAAATGTTCAGAGTTTAGTGAATAAGATTTGAATTCAAGAATGAAAAGTTTGTACAAAAAGAATAATAGAATTTGGTTTGTGAGCTGGCTTGTGACAGACAGTTAACAGTGTAGTGTAATGGTAGTTCTGTGTTTGTGTGTGCATGAGTAGAAGAATGTAGATACGCGTGCGTTGCTGAGTTCTGCTGATTTATTGTTCTACTAACTTATTTCTGGAGTACGAACAGTTTAAATACTTTTTGGGTAGGCTCCAGAGAGAAGCGGGGAAAATATCGAAAGGAATATCTAAAATACACGATTGGATAAAAATTGACCAATCACTGATTTTTTTACAAAACCAAGTTAGGCAAAGTCATGGCATAAAATTTTGTGTGGTTACTGCGATAGGTAAATTGTCCTGTAGTAAACAGTACTTATTTTCTATCCAATTATAACTGAGTATTTTGTGGGCGTGGTAAATCGGAGTAGTAGAAACAGACACATGTGGTCTCCTGATATGGGGCCCACTACAAACATGGCGGGCTCTCCCAGAGTATGAGCCCTCAAACAGAAATGTAAAAGGAAATGTGAAGAAAACAACAAAGGCCGGGAGAGTCTGCCATGTTTGTAGTGGACATATCTTCACTAGAGATTTACATCGTGTCGTATCAGCTGAAAAGTGAGATGAAAAGTCTAACACTTTCGCCCCGGCCCCTCAACCTCCGGCGTCTTACTCTCGGGGTTGAGGTATCTACTCGGTCCTAACCGAACTTAAGGGAGTGGCCATAGGTCCCCTGAGCATACGTAGATTATTCGACCGGTCCGCTGGTTTAATCCTGCTTCCTGCCCACGTTGTGATTTGTTTGATCCAGAAAGCAGAAGTGATGTCCGTCCATTCACGGTCGACTGAAGATGTAGACACGGCTGGGGAGTCTGCACTAAGAAATTTAGAATGCAGCAAAAAAATTAATATCTGCAGAAAGCCGGACAAACATCGATTCAATGGTTGAATTGTTAATGCCTTTTATATAGCAGAAAAGAATAGTAGAGAAGAGAAACGGCTTACAGAAAAGAAAAGTAAAAAAACAAACAAACTCATACACTGGATTCTAGACAGAGAGAGAGAGAGAGAGAGAGAGAGAGAGAGAGTGTGTGTGTGTGTATGTGATTATCTTGTTGTTAAATCGTCTCAGAACGATATATGCAGGCCAATTTTTCTTCTCTCTTCAAGAATTTTCTATAACTGACCCTCGGCCCTACTACTTTCATATCAACAAATTATGAGAAAACCCAGTTCAACATGCTTCTTACTAGGGGGCTACTTAAACATACGTTTCTTCCAGCATGCAAAGGTAGAGTCCTCTGTTCTTGTTAAGGCTCATTATGCACATTTACATGTTCATTGTCCTCGTGATACATATGTACATGCAACTTCCGGTTAAAGTTCACTGTTTTGGTGATCTCGTGCAATAAAACCTTTTCACATAGTTCACTAGTTCGAGGGTTCTTTTTTTTTTTTTGAGGTTCGCAACACTCCTTACCAATCATTTCAGTCTCATTACTAAAAATAAAATTTCGATTTATTTCGTAAATCTGTCCCTCCGATTTTGTCTCGCCTTCACAACAGGCTTTGTCGAATTTTTTGTTGATTCAGGTCCTTCCACGACAATCATGCACTCTTCTTCAATATCAGTTAGGGGTCCCAATGCACTCTTGCACTCATGCACTCCCGTGCCAGTTTATTCTGCCCGGTCGACAACACCGCACGCCTCTTCAACCACCACCAAACCAGCAAGGCCACGACTATCATTAGTATAATTCCCACAACGGTCGGTCAGGTTATTATAGCAACCAAATTCTCTCTCCAGCCCGAATTCGGCGTACCTATCTTATCTAACTCCGACTTCAACCGTCCAAGATCAATCTTATCGATTGGCTTTAACGCCGGCATCTTTTCTAGCGACATCTTCCTACCAGCTCTAACAAAGCCTCATCCTCTTCAAACTTCTCTTCTGCTTGGTAGTAGGGAGGTAGAGATAGATGAACCATGAGCTCCACAACCAATGGGTAGCTCTACAAAAAACAAAGGGGGAATAACTCTTATCGTAGTGGTGGGCTTCCCTTCACACACCTTAGATAATTCGATCTCTTCTTGTGTGGCCACCGCCCAAATTCCGTCAGAGGCACTGGTTGCTTTAGGTAACATTACACTAGCCAACACCTCTACCTGACAATGATCTCTAATTCCCTTCTTATTTTTCTTAAATAAATCTAGTACACACAGATTATGACTACCTGTCACGTAAATTGGACTTAAGACCAACAGGTACCTAAGGCATTATTCTTGCATTTTTCTGCTTCTCCCTTTGTTAATAGCATAAACTCTGTCCTGGCGAGGTTTAGGGCAACAAATTCCGTCTCTACATTGCACCTAGCCACCGCTCCTATCTTCGGCCTTAGTTTTGGATTCATCATCTCTGTCCAGTAATGGAACCGACACTAGCACTAGCAATTTATCCTCTTCCAACAAGGTAGTATATCCCAAGGGACTATAGTACCGCCATAACTGCTGGGTGGGGTCAACAGGTAATCTAAGATGATGGAGTAGTTTGGCTTGTATCTCCAGTAGTACTTCCCTTAATCGTTCTGGCGTTATTATACTCAAAGACAGGTGTCCCAGCGACAGCATGTCTAATTGTGCTCTCACATGCTCTAACAACACCGTTAAAGAGTGACTTGTTTGACGTACCTTACTCATTATAGCTAATAATTGAAAATACCTTTGCAAAAAGACCTCTAATTTCTGTAATTCGGTTGTTACAGACGTGGTTACATTTATCACTTCTTTTCTAAAAACCTGTAGGTGAGAAATCAGCCAATTAATACTCCCTCTATTCTTAGCCAATTCCAGCCTAGTAACATTGAGTCTCTCTAACCGACTGAGCCATTGCTTGTCTCTGTTCTAACACCTTTAATTTCCTCTTAATTATTCTCACTTCGTCTTCGGAGACTGTAACAAACAACACGCTTAACGCCTTTCCCATTATAGGTAATACTGCCCTCTTTTGCCTGGTCCGTAACAACTTTATTCCTTTCAAATAGTAACTAATATCCTTCCATTGTCTCTCAAGTATTAGGGATTCCTGAGCTAAGGGGTATAATATACGGTGGTATTCCGGAGTCTGTAAATAGTCTCCAGCAACTTGTGTCCTGTCTGTATCTAGTTTGTCCACTTCGGTCTTCAACTGACCCAGTAACTTCTCATACGGCTGCAGGTCTATCACCAAAGTTATCAACCACTTTGCTAGTCTTCTTAACTACAGTATTCTCACTGTGTTCCCAGGTATTAGCTCCCACAACTAGCATTGTCAGTACCACGAGCCTCCTCTTGTCCATGTCTGCAAAGAGATGGAGAGAATAATTCGTCTTACTCAATCATTCTCTTATTGTTTTTATCAGGTGGTTACATCTTAGAGCGATACCTCAAGCACCGACCCATACCACCACCAGCGCCATGCATGCATGGGGCCCGTCCACACAGTTCACCAGCACCGATGATAAATGCACGGTTAGTCCCAGACCGTCACTCATTCACCACAGCCACTGTACTGGTTTCACTTAATCTTTGGGCTCGGGCTGCACCGCCCACCCCCTTAATCGCAGTTTTAGTGGTAATTCCTCATTAACACTAGGTGCTTTTTCAGCCCGCAATTTACTCTGCAATTGAGCTAACGGAATTCCATCCTCTTCTTCCCATTCACTCAGTTCTTATTCCCTAAGGTTAGGCTCAACCTCTGCTTCCCCAGAATGTCCCGCTGGAGTCCGATTTACCTCACTCAGCCTTCGAAGGGTAGTCGGGCTAATTTCAATCTCCTCACTCCCTTCACTTTCACTCTTAGTCTCTAACCCTTCAGGTTCTACCAACGTAGATTTCCTCAGCCTTTTCTGTTGAGTTTTTGTTTCTGCTCCTTTCCATTTCAGCTAGCTTTATATCATTCGCGTGCACTCTCTTTACCTGTCCGGTCAATTGGTCCCAGATCACAAAGGAAACCGGACCCGTCTGCTCCACGATCCTATAGTATGAACTCCATCTCTGGTCCAATTTACCTTCCCTCATGTGTACTTTATAATACACTTGATCACCTATCTGGAAGGAAAGATTTTCTCTATTTTTATTTACCCTATCGTTTCGCCTTTTCTGGGCTCTTTGAATCCTCCTCCTTCTCACCTGCGTAAAAAGTTTATGCTGTTGTTCTAAAACTATTTGGTGATGATCCTCTCCTAAATACTTCCTCCTAGTTCGTAACAGATAGTCTATAGGTAAGACTACATCCCTGCCATATATTAAGTAATAAGGGGAAAATTTTGTCGTCTCGTTCATCGAGAATCTCACAGCTGTTAACGCTTGTGTTACGAATAAATCCCAATTTTCCCTATTATCCTCTGTTAGTTTAGCTAACACATCAGCGAGAGTCTGACGAAATCTCTCTTCCTTAGCATTACTTTGGGGGTAATATGGAGAGGTGGTTACGTGCTGTATGTTTAATTCTCCCAACGTCTCTCTCATAATCTGATTCAAACTGTTCAGTGGCCCCATACCTAGGCAATATTTCGTTTAGTATTATATCTGACACCGTTCGTGCCTTCTTATCCGGTATGGCAAATGCCTCAGACCAATTCGTCAGCCAGTCCACAAAACTCACTATGTAAAGATTACCTCTATGTGTTTCTCGATAGGGCCCGGAAATATCCATGCTTACTTTCTGAAATGGATAATTCGGAACATCCGTTTTTAATACTGGGGCAACCCTACTCCTTCGACTCTGTACTTGGCATGTTACACATTTTTTTACATGGTTCACAACATTATTAAACAACTTAGGCCAGTAGTAATTTCTCATTATTAATCCATACGTCTTATCAATTCCCAGGTGTCCTAATCTCCTATGGCATTGGTCTAGAATTTCAGCTCTCAACTTCCCAGGTATCACCATTTTAAAACTTACTTCCTCACCTCTTCCTGAAAGGTAATACAACACTCCATCGTGGGCCATATATTTGGAGGTACGCCCTGCCTCTACCCTGGACCTGATAGTTGCTATCTCACTATCCTCTTGGTTTTGCCTAATAATATCTCTCCAGTGGGGGTCAGAAACAATCTCCGTTTCACTCATTTCCTGATCTTCCCAACCAAGTCTTTCCTTCAACGCCTGTGAATTGATCATGTTAATTTGGAATGCTTTATCATCTACACCCGGCTCCAACATGACAGATTCGGTCTCTAATTGCCTCGCTAACAGGTCAGCACAGGTATTATCCTTCCCTGCCAAATATTCTATTCTGCAGTTATACCCACTGAACTTATTGAACAACTTACTGTTGTATCTTGTTCGTCCACCCCGCCCCTAACAAATATTTGAAGGGTTTGTGGTCTGTTTTAATGATAAACACAGCCCCACTCAACTAATAATCTAATTTCTGCACAGCATACAGAATGGCGAACGCCTCTTTTTCTATTACTGGCCACCTTTGCTGAGTCTCGAACCTCAGGCACACCCGGTACTGGTCCATCGTTATCGGGACATGGTTGTGCAAGAAGCGCCCCGATGCACTTATCGCTAGCATCGATGTACAGCATCATGGGCTTACTCAGGTCTGGGTAGGCCAACAGGGGTACAGCTGTCAGCTGGTCCTTTAGAGCCTCGAATGCACGCTGACAATCCTCGGTCCACTTCAACCTAGCATGCTTCTTAGTTAGAACTATTAAAGGGCCTGCTAGACAACTAAATGCTGGTATGAACATCCGATAATATCTGATGGCTCCAATAAATTCCCTAATCTCTCTTATGATCTTCGGTGCGGGCATGGCTCTTATAACCTCTACTTTGTCTAAATCCGTTTTTATTCCTTCTTTGTTTATGATAAACCCGAAGTTCTTTGTCTCTTCTTTCATAAACTGACACTTTGATAATTTTAACTTTAATCCATATTCTCTTAACCTATCGAACACCTTCTGCAGATGTTTAAAATGCTTCTCCGGTGATTTTGAAAACACCATGATGTCATCTCGATACGCCATGGCAAATGCCTCAGTGCCATTCAATACGATGGACATCAACTGACTAAACACACCCGGGGCGTTTGCTAACCCAAACGGCATAACTCTAAAATTGAAGAGACCCATGTGGCAGGTAAAAGCGGTCTTCTCCTGATCCTTTTTGCTAAGTGCTACCTGCCAATATCCCGACCTCAAATGCAAGGTAGAAAAACATTTAGACTCTCCTAAAAGAGCTAGAATATCATCAATTAAGGGGAGGGGCACTGCCAGTGGTTTCGTAATGGCATTTAATTGACGAAAATCCACACAAAACATATGCCCTCCATCCTTCTTTTCAACAATTACTATTGGAAAACTCCAGGGAGATTTGGATCTTTCCATTATCTCTGATTCCTTCATTTCATTCACTGCGTCCTCTACTAATTTTCTTTTGTGGATGTGGATCTTATACGGTCAACTTAATAGGTGGGTGATTACCCGTGTCTATCTTCATTTCAACTGTCTCCGTCTGTCCCGGTTCCTTATCCATAATGGCTATTACCTCCCGATTACCGTTCAGCAACCCTCTCAATTTCCTTCTATAACGATCAGGAGCTGTTATATCTTCATCCTTTATTTCATCACTACCTGTCTTATTCCCAGGCCTATTCTCATTCCATACTCTCACCTGTTCGACTTCTCTTACTGGTAAGCCTGTGCCAGATCCTCTCCCTGCTTTATTTTTATAGTTTTATTGGCAGTATTGGTTAACAGTAAGGGAACGGTCCCCGACCTTTTCACCAACGAATCACACACGGTTATTTCCCCTTCACTATTATCATGCCTATCATTAGGGACCACTTGGTACAGGTCACTGTTCCGCTCTCCTTCTGTTATAATCTTGCCATTCGCAGATACAGTAGTCCTAGGGGGAAGCTTTATATCTGTCTGGGCCACCACTGGCAATTGTTCGTAATTATCCTCTCCCAACAGTATCCCTACCCCATCCAATGTTAGGGTGGCGGGGTCGAAACGGATCGGTGCATTATTCTGCCTAAGCCAGTCACTCCCCAAAATTAGCTCACCACACAAGTCAGATGCCACATAAACCTTAAGTTTACCTCTCGTTCTTGCCAACTGGAAAGGTAGCCACGTCATACCCTCTATCCTCATCCTGCTACTATCAGCCTGACTTCTTAGTAGATCGACGGGACTAAACTTCGTTTTCAGTCCCAACTTTCTAAAAACTTTGGAGCTAACCAGTGACACTGAAGCTCCAGTATCGAAAAGGGCCTTCACTTTCTTGTCTCTCAGCAACACATTACAAGTGAAGTCAGGCCCTTCCTTCAGCAAACGGTATACCTGTGCCTTTCTCCTTCCCGTATGTTCTCTCCCTTCCTCCCGCTTTCTCAACAACCGAGATGTGGGAGTCGGTGACAGGAATTCACCTTTTTCTAGGGGCTCCAATTTCTGCCTAGGGGCTCTTCTGGGTGGGTTAGAGCTCGGATGACCCTCTTTTCCCGGACTAGCAACCAATTTCTCCCCTCCATTCGAGTTAGGGTTGTTACGTTCGGTGTGGTCCATCTTTCTCCTGTGAGGTCAGGTTCGTCTCAGGTGACCCGCTCCTCCACAGCGTCAACACCTTCGCTCCTTACAACTGGCCGAAAAGTGCCCGACCACACCACATGTCCAGCATCTCAGAGGTCTTACTTGCACTGGGGCCACCCTGCCTCTTAGTTTTTAACGGGTGACCCATCGGCGTTTCCCAGACCCTTTTCCTTCTCAGTAGGGGACACCAGGGTATTAACTCGCTTTATCCCCAGTTTACGGTCTTCCTCTGCTGTACACCACCGAGCCTTGTGCCCGAACTCGCCACAAGTCGCGCAGTCCGGTCCCAAAGACTTTGGGTCATCTCCATAGTTTGTCGGACAGTCGCGGGCCCGATGTCCACCATACTTGCAAGTCCAACACACCAGCCCATATCGGCCCGGTGTGGGCTTGTGAAATCCATAACGCAGATCCCAGGTTCTTCTATTGGGAACTGCCTCAGCCTTCCAGTCCGCTTCCACCTCTTCTTTCGGGTCCCGTATCTGGATCTGTTCCCGGTCCTTCTTTTTCATCACTACCTTGGCCGCACCAGAGCGGATTTAAGCTCGGTCCACGTCAGGGCTGGGTTTTCTTTGTACCCTATGAACTTGGACACCTGCCCCGCTGCGGCGTCGTAAGCTAGGAGCACCATTTCTTGGTCCGAGAGGCCATAGATCACCTGCTTCTTCTGAATGGACAGAATCCATTCGTGCAGGTCCGCAGGGTCTCCTTTATAAGTAGGTAGCTTCATGCTACCTATCAGCCTCCTGAAACCCATCGATATTTCGGGGACTCCTATGTCCCCAAGGTCATCTGTGGCGTCTGATCCTGCTACGCTCATCCTAGCGTCTTGTCAACTACCATTTTCTCACGAGAGACCAACGACAGAACGAAAGGAAAAATACTTGACACGGTGGCGGCGCTTCAAAGTCGACAAAGTCAAAATAAATATTACTGGCAGATCTAAGTACAATAACCGAACAAAGGAAACCAAAAAGTGAGGTCCGCCGCTCCGTGTTTTGTTTCTTTTTCCTCCTCCTTTTGCTTCCTTCTCTTTTCCTCCTTATGTCCCTTTTAGACCAATATAGTCCGAAGACTAGAGTCCGTTCTGGTCTTACTTGGTCCAGACTGGACAAAACAAATGCAACCTTCTCTCCTCTTTCAGACGGCCGTGGTAATTCCCACGGTCCTATCCTGGTCAACACGGCACCAGTCTAACACTTTCGCCCCCCCCCACACAGGCAACTGCCCTTTATATATATAGAGAGAGATTAAACTTTGCCTGCTTCTACAACGTTCACGATTTGTCAGTAATAGCAAGCTGTTATCTTCAATGCATCACTGATAGATTTTTATAGTTTATAATTTGATGCAGTATAGCCCCTACAGTATATTTACTGGCTAAAATTCGTCATTTAGAGGTTGTGCGTATGCTATACTAGTTTTTCTATGATTAAATAGTTGTTTTTCTTTTTCCGAGAGAGTGAAAGAGCCCTTTGGGAACAATTCCATTCATTCTGATGAGGGCAAAATGAAAATAGCAAAATCAGGGATTCATTTAAAATTGACTCTTACCATCCCTAGAATCATTTTGACAGAGAATGTTGAAACTTGGATAAGCATGGAATAATAATAATACAACACAAAATGTACGTAAACAAAATGTATTGAAACAAGGAAAAGGTACACAATATTTACAGTTAGTTTTGGTATATTCTTGGGAAGACTGTTCCTGCAGAATGGGTTGACTAAATCGCAGTCGGGCAGAGTCTCTCGATTCGATCTCTTCTTACTTCTATTTTCCCGTCTTCCGGTACCAACCCATATTCATATCGGTCGGTACTCCACTTATGTAAATTAGGTGTATCGTACCACAACAGAGAAGATTTAATTGATGCCATTAGCGTTAATGTTAAATCTTAGAAAGTCTAACAAAGCAATACAAAAGGTGCTTTATGCTAAAGATATTTTAAGATTGTTTTTCATTGAGAATGTTCAATACTCCGTTGAAATTCTCATGATGTGCAGCTCCAGGCTTGCTTAAAATAAAAATATAATCTGTATATGCAAAATCAGTCTCATTCCATGAAATATTTGTCCATGTAATGTTTGAATGTAGCTGTCGTTTTTAATCTAAAAAAGTATCATAATATTAGTTTTTGGAATGCAGCCCGAAAGCTGTTTTATTCGATGATATGCTTTCATCAAATCGATTTTGGAAGAACAAACTTTGTTTGCTAACTTCTCCGTAAATATATTGATATTTGGAAGAGGGTATCTGTTTTTTTTTGTTTTTTTTTTTTTGTTTTTTTTAAATACTATTTAAAGCAAGTTATCACCGCAACATTGCTAAGTTCTGTTCAATTTAGGAGCTATGGGTAAATGGGAAGGTCAAATCACTTTTTGAAGGAACAGTTGTTGATAAATATTAAAACATTTTAAATTCAGATTTTGCATTGTTTTTTTTTGTTTTTTTGTTTTCTTATCTTGAAATTTTATGTTTTTTTATTGTAAACACGAGTATGTGGTTGCTTGTATTCTATTTTATCACTCATGAAAAACATGATTAAATTTTTATATTTACTAAGAAGTGCTTGTATGGATGGTTTCATGTTAACTATTATATCAGCAGTGTTTAGATTGACTTTCTTTTCTGTCATCTTGTATATATTTTATTTATTGCAATCTATCATTAAGGAAAAATAGTTAAGGGAATTGAATCCTAATAAAGAATGCGATACATTCATAATAATGAATGTCTAGTATCGACAATGGCCCCTATTTTAGTATTAATTTCTAGAAGTGACTCTCTTGTTTGGGCAGAAACAGTCCAATTATTATTCTGTATAACTGTGGCAGAGAGCAATGGTCACTCTTGAAATATTAATAATTATAGTAATATAGAATTTTGTTTATAGGTGAGAAAGATAATCAGTGGTGAAGTTTGTGCCCAGAGAATCTGTGCTTTGTCAGAATTATTAATATAAAATGTCAAAACAATAGTATTTATATGGACTATGGAATACCAACTGAGAAGAAGAGACTGTTCATTTAATCATGAAGCGGGAGAGGTCAGTAATCAGGTTGTATTCTAAGTTACCAACACCCCGGGGTTTTTGTCGCTACCACCTCGTTTACTTAAGCGTGTGTTTGTGCGAAAACAAACAATCGAAGTCGAAGTCATGGAGATGGGTGAAGTGAGTTGACAAGCATTCGACGAGAGAGAGAGAGAGAGAGAAAGAGAGAGAGAAAGAGAGAGAAGCAGTGAGAGTGAAAGCGTCCGCTTGCTGCTATAATAAGGGTGGAAGTGAAATCAAGTTATCTGCAATATTGGCGCAATATTGCCAGTGAACCCTCTTATATCCTGATAGTGAAATAATTACGGCAACTACTAAGAACAAAAAGGGAGAACCCGCAAACTACTTCTCTCCTTTCAGAATTATTTGCAATATTTGTTTTTTGTTTTGTTTTTGTTTTTTGGACTGTATTTCATATACACTACTTTCTTGTAATTATTCTTTTTTGTGCCAATTTTTTCCTCATATACATATACGTAAATTTTTCTTTGAACTCATATCGACTTGTTCATATTTGATTTTTTGGCTTGGTCCGAACCTCGCCCAAACGAAATTGCAAGTAGTCCAGCTGAATTTTCCGGGATCTTCGATTTGTTAATTGCTCACCACGATCAAAAAATCACAACGTGGCTGGAAATTGGAAAGTGTAATCGAATCGACATTATGAACCGGAGATTTTTGATTGAACCTGTAATACTGGATCAGGACAGGACCAACGTCCGGTCATGTAGAGTACATCGATCCAATGGGGTCAGGATAGGTGTTACATAACTGATGTCAATTATATTGGATCTGGAGGTTACTTGCATATTTAAATATATTTACTATGTACTTACATGTGCTTGTGGCGGACTTCACTACATTAATTTAACTTTAGATCAGGAAACAAAACTGACGTGAAAAAGGATAAGCAAAAGACATCATTACACATAAAATATCTATTTAACAAGTTGTACAAGGATGTGAAAGAAGGCATGCATTGAGTAGGAAAAAAGGTTGAATTAAAACAAGAGCTGTCTCTCTTTAACTATTATTTTGTATTCCAAAGTTCACTGAAAGAAAGTTTGTGATGGTTTCTTGTAATAAATGTTCTCAACAGTTTTGCTATGTAAGAAAAGATTATGTGAGTGTAAGGAATGTTCAGCATGTGAGTGTTGGTGTGAATGAGAAGATTGGAACATGGTTTCAAATGTCGTGGATTCGTTTGGCAGTTGAAATCTCACTAATTAGCTAAGAATATTTCTTGCTTATATAAATGACCATTGGCTCCGAATCGCTGCGCTGGAAGAGTTATTCTTCACGTGCAGATAATCTGATTGGTTGGCATTGACCAATCAGCGAGCGAGTTTTGGGGAGACTCAAGAAAGCTTCTGGGATCCGTTTCTCCCAAAAGTGCACAAAATTGACTACATGAAAATAGAGCGATTACAAAATTGTCGCATTGCTGCGATTTGTAAATTGTCTATTATAACGTAGTGGTGATTTATTAACCAATGAATGTTTGTTGCTGTATGTGATTTGTATTTGTGTCTGTACATATGTGTGTGCGATGTAGATCGGCACATGCTAATGATAGATTTTGTGCAAACTAAGCGCAAACCAGGCTCCAGATATTGCAATAATCATCGCTGATTGGTCAATATATATCAAATGTCGCAACAACGCCCACGGATAGTGTATAGATTCAAAATGCCGCTAAAATCTTGAAACGTGTTTTTGATCCGATCACGTGATTAAGAAATAGATAAATACGATACACGAGCACATTTCTTCACGGCTAACAACTGCCAATCTACTCCACGACACTTTTTCCCTTGAAGTTACAAAGTTAGAATTCTCTTAACACGAAAAAAAACTTCAGTGCAATTCAAATCAAGCATCAATTCAATCTTCAATCACTCATTACTACTGGATTCATTCATCACATATTGAAGTTCTAGATCACGGAATTTATCTTCAGCAGAATCCGTAAAACAGTTCTTACACTGGATTTTATCAACTACCAAGTTAAAGTTCTCAGTTACAGAACGAAGTTTCATTTATCTTTTCATAAGATATTTTTATGCGCACAAAAGACATTTTTTTACGCGAACATTTACTTAGTTTAATTTCACACACAAATCTTAATAACAGTTTCACACACATTCAAACTTGACATAAATATTCTGCATAATTCAATTCAACCATTTACATGTTGCGGCGCTAAGCAGGTTGCCTGTTTAACCCCGCAAGCAGAAAAATAATATAGGGTAATACGATCGAAGCAAGGAGCGTTGTCAGGTTTCATGGCGACAGCTTGGAGGTAGGCCGAATGGAACAGCAATGTTCGAGGTCCAGTCAATCCCCGGATGTCTGTACTTGTGTAAAGAGCGCGTCGGCGCTTAAGGAGATAGAGGATCGACGCGAACGGCGCTGGTGTAGTCTGTTCGTCCTTGGTATGACTGTCGCGCAAGATCGCAGGATGGTAGTTGTAATAAAAGGACATTCGTAATAACGCGGCTAGGTTAGTACTGAAAAGGACTATTGCATATTATGTAACTAGGCGTAGTCCGGAAAAACGACTAGTGCATATCATGTAACCGAGTGTAGGCTAGTGCATATCACGTAGCCGAGTGTAGGCTAGTGCATATCATGTAACAGGCTGCTGCTGACTGAAGCTGGGTCGGCCGTCTGCTGCTGATTGAAGCTGGGTCAGCCGGCTGCTGCTGATTGAAGCTGAGTCGGCCGGCTGCTGCTGCTGCTGTTACGGCTGGGCTGCCGGCTCTGGCTGCTTCGTGTGGTCAGCGAAGGTGAAAGTGGGGAGCTCGTCGCTCAGTTTTTGAGGCCAAAAATCCGCCAGGAGAATTGATTAGATTTATTTCGTATAAATACAAAATTGTGGCACAAGGCCGAAAAGGAGGAGGCGGTAAAAGGCTGGTCTTCACTAATTATCTTATACCTAGCTAATCTGATTCACGACCCATTCAGACATTACAATTTACTCATTCACCATAAGAACTCGTCCGTCACCAATCAATCCTCCATGCACCATGCACCATAATACCACTCTAGGGAGACCTACAAAACGACGCGCCCCGTATCATAATAATTTAATGATCCTAACAGATATGTACAAAATTCTATGATGAAAAAATGAGAGGG